TGTCCCTGTCAGCTGTTTGAGTATTTTTATAAAGTTTTGCAAAGAGAAAGTAAACGAAAATTGAAATAACGCGCACTATTTTCAATTTAATGTTTTATTTAGTTACTTTTTTGTTTGTTTTATTTTTTAAAACAATTTTTTAATTATAATTCTTAAAATAATTGTGTTTTTGTGTCAATAACCAAACAATTCCCATAAAAATACGTGTTATCTACTTGTTTTAAACTGCAATTTAAAATTCACCGAGACCGGCTTAAAAATACGTCCGTTCACTAGGACTTTTCAAAAACAAAAAAAAATAAAAAAAAAAAATTTATGTAATAATTTTTTTATTGTTGACACAAAATTTACTTTCTGTACGCAGAGTTTTTCTGCTAAGTGTATGTGCTCAATACGTGTGCAAAAATGTTATAAAATATGTTTTCAAAACCAATTGTTTGTGATATGGCAATTACACTGGCCGCAAAAGACTCATATCAAAACAGTCATTTAAAAGTGTTTTCTTTCGTTGTAATTCATTTATTTTTATTTCAATCAGTTGGTGTTTCAATTTGCCTGTTGATTTGATTTTTGGCCTGTGCCAAAAAAAACATTTCCAATCACCTAATATATGTTTATCTGTTTTTGTAAATATGTCAAAAACAGGCTTCACAAACTGTCAAAAAGCCATAAAAGCTTTTATTATGGGTATGTTCAATGTATTCAATTGCATTTAGAACCTATTTGGAATTCGTTTTAACCTCGTTGAAACTCATTTGTATAAAATCAGCAAATAGAACTCTGTGCATATGAGATTTTGTATGCAGAAATTAATCATGTTGTTCCCATCAGTGATGTTTGACCATGATGAGCTGTTTGAGGCCAGTGTAAATGCCATATTACGCTCGAAGTGGGCGAAGTTTCAGTTCTGTGAGAAGTATTCTTTGGTCTTATACATTATGACAGTCTTATTTCATGTAACTGCAGTTTGAGCATCGATCATGCATACGTATCTGAAAATATGTAACAAACACTAGCTTGCTCGCAAGCATGGTGCTTGTACTACATATGTGTAAACATACTTTGTTTGCTGTAACAAGTTCACGTGTAGGTCTTTCCGGATTTAGAAGATACCGAGGTTGGTTGTGTTGTGTGAGATAATAATTTCTAGTGATTTTAAATAGGTGCTACAATTGTTTGTATTAGTGCACATATTACGACGTTATTGTTTTGCTTATGTTATGCTAATAATTTTTGAAATTTTCTCTTTGTAGCTCAAATGGCGGTACGTTACGAACTTAGCGTTGGACTTAACAAAGGTCGCAAAACTACTAAAGTCAAAAATGTTAAGTATGTGGGTGAAAAAAATGTTAAGGGATTGCGGGGTTCTCGTTTAAAAAATGTAAGAATTTAGAATAGAACTACACTTATTTTAAGGATAATATCTCAGAAAAAAACCTGTTAATGTACTTTATTTACAGATTCAAACTCGTCATACAAAATTCATGAGAGATTTGGTTCGTGAAGTTGTCGGTCACGCACCTTACGAAAAACGTGTAATGGAACTTCTTAAGGTTTCAAAGGATAAGCGGGCGCTTAAATTTTTGAAACGCCGATTAGGAACCCATATTCGAGCCAAAAGAAAACGTGAGGAAATGTCGAGCATATTGACCCAAATGAGAAAAGCACAAACACACGCTAAATAAGTTATTGCAACAATTTAAATTGTAATTAATAAATTACTGTGTTTTATAAATTAATTTTTAAATTTTGTTTTGTGCCTTACAATTGTCTATTGGTCCTACAGATAAAAAGTTAAGTGAAGGTATGAGCTCTGTTTTTACATATTTTGCAGTAAGCTGTTTTTATTAGAGAATTAATGCTTGAGTAGCTGAAGCGTGTTAAACGAAAAAAAGCCTAATTTATTAATATCATATTTAAAGTAATGAATAAATAATCGTTTTTCGTTGTAAAATTTGCAGATTGTGCATGGTGTTGTATACCGTGAGTTCTTGGAATAAAATTTGGATTATTTTTTATACAGTAGTAGCGTTTAGAACGTATTTAGAAATGACGGGATATGTTATATAGTGTCATCGACGCGACAACATTGTCTCTTTCGAGTTATGACGAAAATGCATGTTATGCAGAATATCATAACAGTTTGTCAGTTTCGTATTTTTTCTATTATTTTTTGTTTGTTCTTAAATCTTTAAAGAAATACACATAGTAGAGAAAAAGTACGGATATTCACAAAATTTTTTTTATATTACGCATAACTTTTTTAATTTTTACTCAAATTCATTTCTATTTCCTAATTTATTTAAACCAAAGAAACAACAGTAAAGTTCCAATATAAAAAATTAACAGTTATTCTTTAAAAAAAATTAAACAATTATATGCAAAAGTAGCAATTTTTTAAGCAGAAAAAGTCTACGGATATTTCTTAATATTTACATTAAAACAATGAAATTCACAAAAATCTTAAATTTAATAGCCTGCAGGATAACTTCTGCATTTAATAACCTCTGTTAAGCATCTTTGCATCGACTCAACTAGCTTTGCAATATCCTGTGTGTTTATTTCTAGCCATTCTTCTTTGATGACGTTTCTTACTATATCCTTGCTGGAAAACATATGCTGGCGAATCTTATCTTCCAAATAAACCCACAGATGTTCTATAGGACTAAGGTCTGGTGATTCTGGTAGTGTTTGAAGTTGCCTGAGAGCATAGCACAGCACCCACATCCGTAAGATGCCTGCTACTCATCGTAGAAAATAATTCATTTTTAGAACTTCATAGCTTTACATATTATCTTGCAAAGCTTAATCATTTTATTCTATTATATCTGGATATGTATGGCTTCTTTCCTGCAATCAGGGTATAATACATGCATTTCTTCAAAATTTTCCGGGCAGTTTTAGGGCATAATTTGTTTTCAAGTATTTCGGCAATATGTTCAGCTAGTTTGAAGGCTGTTACTCTTGGATTTACTTTCACCTGGTTGATTATGCTACGTCTTTCTCTATTGAGGGGCGGACAGTGCGAGGTCTAGAAACGTAAGTACTCGTGTATTTGAAGTTATTTATAATTCTCTATACAGATGAATATTGACAACCAATATTTTCAGCAAAATTTCTTTGATTTACGTCATCTTTCCCAAAATTTAACAGTTATTTATCGCTCACAAACTAATTTCAAGTCTTTTATTTTATATTGTAAAAATTTATTGCTTATATAAAAAAATATTATTAAATGATTAATTTTTAGACTCTTTAGGAAGTCAATTAATAATTAAATATCATTTAATGAAACGTTTATGCTTGCAAGCGAATTTAAATTAACGGTAAATGTAAATATTAACAAATATCCGTAGACTTTTTTTGCTTCAAAAATTGTTACTTTTGCATATTAATTTTTTATATTGGAACTTTATTGTTGTTTCTTTGCTTAAAATAAATCAGGAAATAAAAATGAATTTTAGTAAAAATTAAAAAAGTTATGCGTTATATAAGAAAATTTTTGTGATACAAACGGCCTTGATTTACTGACAAGGTACAGATAGCCTCGGATCTCATGGCTGAATTTAAAGCGATATTTGCATATTTCTGTTTTTTAATATGCATTGTACGCAACAACAATTTTAATTTTAACGTGCTGTGGCACTCTACACAACATGGACTTTACTGTTGTTTTGTATTGAACTACATTATAATTTAATGGGATATTGAATGGGAGTTTGTTCCCTTTTCCAAAGTTTGCTATTATGAATAATTTGGGAAGTTTTGTTCCCAATTATTCTATTCTGAATCGCATGGGAATGGGAGTTTTTTCCCAATTTGCACAAATTCTTTCTCAAGCAAATTGTTGGGGAGACAAATTAAAGAAGTATGAAAAATGGTTTAATTTAATATAAAAGCAACTGAAAATATTCAGATTTTTGAATATATTTTAATAAAATTATTATTATAATAAAATTATTACAATAAATTTAATATTTTCAAAGTTTTATTTTTTTATTTTATCCACAAGAGTTGATTAGTTTTCCGAATAACCTGAGCCTAGATAGCAACGACGCTGAGGGGACCAAGCCGGAATTGGAACACGAAATTTTTCTAAGTTTATTAATTTGTCAAATTTAGCCAAATTTAAGCTTTTTCACCAAGTTTGAAATATGATTTGGATAGAAAATTCAATTATCTTTCATTTGGAATACACCCCATATCTGTATGTTTCGTAATAACTGAGATATTGAAAAAATAAAAAAATCAAATTTTTTGAAAAAACTGACTTTTTTTACTTAAAAAATTATTAAAAAACAACCACAAACGGGACCGACTTGCACGGATACTCATCTGAAAGGCAATAAAACAAGCTTTCCAATAAAGCAATAAAAGCAAAAATCGTATGCACAGATTTTGTGCAAAATTGCATTAAAGTTCGATATCGAAGCTGCTTAAATATCATAAGAATCAAAAAACTAAAAATGCAAAATGTTCAGAAATATATCACAAAACACAATTTTAAAACCTCAATTAGATATTTTAATTTTATCATAAAAAATTGTTAAAAAATAGCATTTTTTTTTAGCTTACTTTACTGTAATCATTATATCTTCGCGTGCAAAAAGGGGACCGAAACAAAATTAATTTTCCTTTAAAGACAATAATTTACTTTCCAAAAAAATCATAAAAATCGTATGCACAGTTTTTTCTCTATTATTTTTTAAAATTTGTCAATTTTTTACCAAAAATTCAATTATTTGAAAAAAACCTCCACCCTCACAGCGCCAAATGCAGAGCACACTCAAGTCAGGCATGCCAGCGCCATCTAAGTTTCAAGTACAAATATGATGTTTGTATTTTTTTACGCAAGTATTGCGAATAAATAAATTAATGAAAATTTGAATAGAAAAAGCGACTTTCTTATATAAAAAGATTAATTTATAAAAAACTACAATGAAGATCCAAATGCACGCGAAAACCTTTAAAGGCAATAAAACACACTTTCAATTGCAACATAAATCAGAAAGATTGATTTTGTCTTCATCCCAGGAAATTTAATCAAACATGAAAATTATTATTTCTTTTTAAACACATGTTTTTAAAAAAGTAAAGATGAGAAATGTTAAGATATACAAAATAATGCATAATTGTAAAATATCAACAAAATATTTCAATTATATCATAGAAATTTCATTAAAAAAAAAGAATTTTTTTTATAGTATGCATTTATATATCTCAATAAATTTTCATGCACGAACGGGACCAAAATCATCTATACATTTTTATAAAGATGAAGAAATTTCCTTTTCAAAAAGCTCAAAATCGTAAAAATCTAATGCACAGTTTTTTTTATAATCATTTTTTAAAAATTTCTCTATTTTTTACTAAAAATTCAATTTTTTTATATAAATAAATTGTGTCACAGCGCTAAGGCCGGAGTATATAGGAGGCAGAAGGAAAAGCGCTATCTGTATTATAAGATAGAATGTTATGTTTGTATGTTTAATGCATTTGTTGCGAATGAATGAATTAATGAAAATTTGAATAGAAAAAGCGACTTTCTTATATAAAAAGATTAATTTATAAAAAACTACAATGAAGATCCAAATGCACGCTAAAACCTTTAAAGGCAATAAAACACACTTTCAATTGCAACATAAATCAGAAAGATTGATTTTGTCTTCACCCCAGGAAATTTAATCAAATATGAAAATTATTATTTCTTTTTAAACACATGTTTTTAAAAAAGTAAAGATGAGAAATGTTAAGATATACAAAATAATGCATAATTGTAAAATATCAACAAAATATTTCAATTATATCATAGAAATTTCATTAAAAATAAACAATTTTTTTTATAGTATGCATTTATATATCTCAATAAATTTTCATGCACGAACGGGACCAAAATCATCTATACATTTTTATAAAGATGAAGACATTTCCTTTTCAAAAAGCTCAAAATCGTAAAAATCTAATGCACAGTTTTTTTATAATCATTTTTAAAAAATTCTCTATTTTTTACCAAAAATTCAATTTTTTTAAATAAATAAATTGTGACACAGCGCTAAGGGCGGATTAAAATCAAAGTAGATGGGTTAATTGATCTGTATTTTGAGTGGGATGGTGTCTAACAAAAACACTTATCAGTGTTACAAACCATTTCTTTTTAGAAATGTATGAAATGTTTGGAATCTGTCAATGTTTATTCAAAAAAATTTCAGTGGCGGAATCTATTTTATAACACTATAGCTTTCTAAACGCTTCATATAAAAAATTATTAGAGATATAATTAATGTAAAATAAAAAATAAGGAAAATGAATAAATAAATAAAATAAAAATAAAACTTATTTGATGATCAATATATGGGTGACATGTACTAGAATCTGTCAATTAGTCAAATTATAAAATTCGCATCAGATATAAGACAATAAATATGTACATATATATAAAACAGATACAATTTTATGTTGATGTACTTTTCATATTTCACATTTCAATTTTTATTCATAAAACTTAAAAAGCAATCACATTCTTCATTTATTTTAATTTTGTATGATTATATATGCTTTTACAAGTATGTATTGTTAATCAGACTATGTATGTACATATCTGCATAGGTATAAAATATAGCTGGCGTCACAATAGTTTCGTGCATTTTTTTCTATGCACATACAATCATCAAGTTTATGTTTTATATGCTTATAATAATTTTTAATAATCATTTATTTATTAAATATATGTATGTATTAA